GGCCAAGAGCCTGCGCTGCATCCCTGCCCCAGAGCCCCCCACGGCCCCCGCCCCGAGGCACCCACACACGACGGGGGGACGCAGAGGGGATGTGTGTGCATGTGCGTGTGCATGTCTGTGTGTGTGTGACAGGTGTGTGTGTGTGTGTGTGTGTGACCGTGTGTGTGTGTGCATGTGTGCGTGTGTGCGTGTCTGTGTGTGCATGTATGTGCATGTGTGTGCGTGTGTCTGTGTGTGTGCAAGCTCTTGCACAGGCTGCAGGCAGTGCCACGCACACACGGGGACACACACACGGGGACACGCACACACGGGGACACGCACACACGGGGACACGCACACGTGGGGACATGCACACACGGGGACACGCACACGTGGGGACATGCACACCCACCTGCGGCTGCTGGCAGAGCCCCACGGGCGCGGCAGGAGCACACGAGTGACACAGCCCTGGGTGGGTGTGCACGGCCACGGGCACGCTCCCGGGCGAGCATTTGCACAGTCAGCATGGGCACAAGCACTGACAGTCACACATACACACACACACACACACACACACATACACACACACGCACATGCACACGCATTCATACCCTGTGCACGCACCTTGCACAAGTGTTCATACCTTTGCATATCCCGTGCACACGTGCTTGCATAAGTGCACAGACCAGCTTGCACCTCCATTTCCACGCGTGCACACACGCACACACCCTCCAGTGCACAAACACCGCTGTGCACACACATTGGCCCTTGCACACTCACGGTCTCGGGTGCGCAGCCAGCGCTCACCCTGCCCGTGTCCAGCTGTGCCCAGCTGTGCCCAGCTGTGCGCTCCCGCGGGCTGCGGGGCGTGCCCGGCTGTGCCCGTCCCTGGGGCTGGCGGCTGCCGGAGCAGCCCCGAGACCGTCGCAGCGTCGCCGAGGTCACTCTGCAGTGCTGGGCTGGCYCTGAGCTCTGGAAGGAGGGTCGACTCCTGCAGGTGCCCCCTCCGGGTGCTGCTCGCCTCCTGTGGCAGGTTGGGCGCACAGCGGGTGCCCTGGGGTGTGCTGTGGTAGGGTGCAGCCCTGGCTTCCACCTCAGGCTTTCTGGGGAGCTGGCAGGCAAAGGGATCCCACACCCTTTGTCCATGAGTGCAGGGCAGAGCCAGAATTGCCACCCCAGGCCGAGGGGGCAGGATCACACTGCCCCTCTGCCTGCCCTCCCTGCCCCAGGCCGAGGGGGCAGGATCCAGCGCAGGTGTTGCCCCCAGCAGCCTTGAGTCTCCATGTGCCATCCCACCCACCCTGGTGCACTTGGACAGCGATGGGGACAAACCCAGGACATACCCAGGTGTCCTCAGCTGCTGGAAGCTTTGGGAAACCTTCGTGGCCCTTGGCATCAAATAACCCTCAGCTGGGTAGGGGTTAAATGCAGCAGCTCCTGGTTTATCCCGAGCAGGATGAGGGGGTTGTGGGATACACCCTGCTGCAGCTCCCCAGTGCCGGGTTTCAGGGCTGGGTGGTGCCAATGCTGGTGTTCGTGGCAGCCCCTCCGTGGGGTGGGAGGTRGCGGTGGCCGGTAGCAGAGCCTGTGCTGGCAGCAGGAACCTTGTGTGGATGGGAGTCACACAATCCCCTCGTTGTGGTGTGTGAAGGACGGCCTTTGCCCCACGGGGGCCCCCAGACCCCCACACCATATTCCCCTGCGGACAGCGGTGCAGGAAGAAGGTGTCCAGATGTGGAGCCATACTCTGGGTGACTCAGGGTTTGATTCACCTGAGTGACAGCTGGAGACACATGGCAGCATCACTCTGGGGCARCAGCGTCCCCACGGCTCTCTGGATGGCTTTTCTGAGGTGAGAACGCTCCTTTCCCAGGGCAGAGGAGCACCCGGTGCCGGAGAGTGATATTCTGGGTGAGGAGGCTTCTCAAGGGYGAGGAGGGAAGAAGAGATGCAGGGAAGGGGATGCACCCCAGCCACAGCTCACCTGTCCCCTGAAACTCCTTCCTGGGTATATCTGTGCTCCTGCTGGTCTCTTCGCTTTCCCTGCTGGAGAGCCTGGTGTTCTCCTTAACCCCACTGTTCATTCCCTGGCATTCTTCCCTGCTGTGGTCTTCTCTTCAAGCTGCTTGAAGAGAAGGGGCTGGAGCTGGGCTGTGGGGACATTGTGGGGCTGGAGCTGGGCTGTGGGGACACTTTGGGGCTGGAGCTGTGTTGTGGGGACACTTTGAGGCTGGAGCTGGGCTGKGGGGACACTTTGGGGCTGGAGCTGGGCTGTGGGTCACTTTGTCCCAGGTTTGCTTGCAGCAGTCAAAGCCCCATTTGCAGGACTGGCTGTCCCCATCCTTGACAGGAGTTCAGACCAGCCCAGGCTGGGCTGGGGAGGGGGTGCTGAGCATGTTGGACTGTGCTGTGACCTGAACCCCTTYGCTGGCACCACAAAGGAGCCGGGCTGGACAGGGGAGCCCTGCAGGGCTGGGAGGTGGGGGCAGGAGCCTTGAGCCACCCATGATGTGGTACATTAAGGGACATTACGTTGACCCACTGATCTGCACACTGAACCCACCACTGTAGAGCCAACTCATCTCTCCTCCTCCATCCTTCAAATGTGCCCTGCCAAAGCCCTCTGGGGGCTGCAAGAAGAGCAGTGTGTTGCTCCTCTTCTGTTCCCAGACTTGGAAGCTCCCGCTGGGGCTGGGAGCAAGTCCTGAGGGTATCACCAGYGCTGGGTCCCTGCAGGTGCCCCATGCCCAGGTCCCTGCCTGAGAAAAGCAGGAGATGGGGGGGCTGGATTTGTCCAGAATGGCCTCATTTATCTCTCCTGAGGTTGAAAACCCCCTCCCTCATCCCATGGGGCCTTGCCAGGTGAACATCCCCCCACGAGTGTCCCCATTGTCCCCAGGAGGCTCAAAACTGGCACCATCAGTGATGCAAGGCTGGGTGATGCTCGGTGACTTTGGAGATGTCAAAGGCCAGGAAATGCAGAGGCCAGCTGGGCTTCCCATGGCTTGTGAGGGATCCAGRTGCCCTCTCATGGACACTGGGGATCCAGGTGCCCTCTCATGGACAYTGGGGATCCAGGTGCCCTCTCATGGACACTGGGTCTGAGGGTGGGGTGTCCTGGTGCAGCCCTGCTGTCCACACAGGCTCTGTCCTGGGGACACCATGAGGAGTGGTGTCAGCAGGGACCTGTGTGACCTCCGAGGGGCTGTTGTGTTTCAGGGAGCCCCTGACCCACCATGACGTTCAAGCAAGCGTCCATGATGGCCCCAGAGGCCACGGCCAGCACGCTGCCCATGGGCACCATGGAGAACTCCACCGAGGCCGCGGGGCCGGGCGAGAGCAAGGAGGACATGTTCACCAAGCTGAGGGACAAGTTCATGAATGAGCTCAACAAAATCCCCCGTAAGTAGCTGCTCCTCTCCCGGGTGTTCCCCTCCTGATGACCCCCCTGTGCTGGCCCCAGTACCACATGTGGAACAAAGCTGACCACAACGCTGGCTGTCCCCCACAGTGCCACCCTGGGCCCTGATTGCCATCGCYGTGGTGGCCGGACTCCTCATCCTCACCTGCTGCTTCTGCATCTGCAAGAAGTGCTGCTGCAAGAAGAAGAAGAACAAGAAGGAGAAGGGCAAAGGCATGAAGAACGCCATGAACATGAAGGACATGAAGTCAGGCAACCAGGTGACATCCTGCTGGGCCACCTGGTCAATGACTGTGTTGGGGCACTCATGGGTCAGGCAGCAGATTGGGGTAGAGCCACCAGGAATGGGATGGTGGAGCCTGGACCTGAGACAGCAGCACTGTCCTCTTGTGGTGCCTGGTGGCCCAYGTGGGACCAGGCTCAAGCTGTCAATGGGCACCAGARCCAGGAAATGTTGATTTAACCCCTTGTGTCCCCTACCTCCCTCGGGGTCACTCTCATTTCTCAGCCTTTAGCTRAGAGGGAAGGGCCAGCCACCACGTCCAACACTCTATTTTGGCATCCACAAAAAGTCTGTGGTGAAGCAGCGGTGCTGCACCTCATCCTGGGGGTCAGCCCAGGGTGGGCTTTGGGACCCATGGGCTTGGGGCCACCTCAGTGCATTTSGAGGGGGTGGGAGGTTTTGGGTGTCTGTTCCTGCTCTGCAGGGCCATGTGGGCACCATGGGCACACAGACAGGGCTGGAGCAGGGACGGGGGGAGATRTGGGGTGGGGTTCCCCAGTGGAGAGCAAGGGCTGGGCCCTCTGGGGCTCCGTGGGGTGGTCCCAGCCCTGATCCCCCTCTGTGCCTGGGTCCCTTGGTGTCTGTGTAACGCCTCTCTCTTTGCCCTCCTGCCCTGCTGCCCTGCTGCCTCCCTGCCCTGGGACACCCTCCACGTAAGTGTCACAGGAGACTCCTCCATCATCGGCTTCCAGGGAGGGATGAGGGACTGGGGTCACATCCAAGAGGGGGTGAGGAGCCGGGATTCCCACTCCATGGGCTGTGCTTGGGGTGCATTTTCTGGGGACGGTTGGGATGTGTCTGTTCCTGAGCCTACAGAGCCTGCAAATGGCCCTGATCAGCCCTGAGCTCTGGCTGTAAGGGGGGTCAGGACCCACCACTGCAATCACCAAACCTCCCTCCACGGGAGAYGATCCCTTGTCCTGTGGATCCTGGCAGCCTCCACATCATCTGGCTGGAGCAGCACTGGGGGGTCCCTGGCAGCCGTGGGGCCGGTGCCACCCCTGGGCTGCCCWGCCAGTGCTTCCTGGCCCCAGCACGGGGATCTCCTCCTACTGCTGGGGAGAACCTGGGTGTTGAGGTGCCAGCAGGGTTGGGGTGCTGAGGTCCCCAGTGGTGTGGGGCTGGGGCTGTGGGGTGTGACCATCCCRCTGGACACCTCGGCTGCCCTTGCAGGACCAACAGGATGATGATGACGCAGAGACGGGTCTGACAGAGGGGGAGGGTGAGGAAGAGGAAAAGGAGCCAGAGAACCTGGGCAAGCTGCAGTTCTCGCTGGACTACGATTTCCAGGCGAACCAGGTGATGGAGGGGCTGGGGTTCACTGAGGGGTGGGGATTGCCCAGGGCGGGGTTTGAGGGGCCAGGGAGGCACATGAGGGAAGGAGGAGCCGGGTGCTGTGACACAGGAGGTCCTGCCCCATGTGGGGCTGGAGATGAGTCGTCGGCAGCTGCAGTACATAGCTGGGCTGTCTCACTGAGGCCTCCTCTGCCCTTCCAGCTCACAGTGGGGATCCTCCAAGCAGCCGAGCTGCCAGCTTTGGACATGGGTGGCACCTCAGACCCCTATGTCAAGGTGTTCCTGCTCCCTGACAAGAAGAAGAAGTACGAGACCAAAGTACAGAAGAAGACGCTCAACCCTGCCTTCAATGAGACCTTCACCTTCAAGGTGAGCCTCCCTCATCCCTAACACAGGGATTATCTCCCACTCCTGTCCCTCCCCTGGGTCCTGTGTGCTGACCTTTGCTGACCTTCCCTTCCAGGAGCGGGTGATCCTGGCTCAGGGTCCTCCGAGCCGCTTGCCAGCCCAGTCCTTGTCCCTTTGTGCAGGTCCCCTACCAGGAGCTGGGTGGGAAGACGCTGGTGATGGCCATCTACGACTTTGATCGCTTCTCCAAGCACGACATCATTGGTGAGGTGAAGGTGCCCATGAACACAGTGGACCTGGGCCAGCCCATTGAGGAGTGGCGGGACCTGCAGAGCGGCGAGAAGGAGGAGGTGAGAGCCAGGGCTGACCCTTGGCCGGGGGATTGAGATGGGGGCTGGCCACGGGGCCAGCTCTGCTCTCAGGGTCACCCTGTGGTGCTCAGGGTGGTGATCGCTGTAGGGTCCCAGGGTACCATGAATCACCAGGCAGTCATTGCTGGACAGGATCTGACCTGTTCTTCCTCTGTGGAAAAACCTTTTATAACAAAAAATGAAGAGCATAAAACATCTTGAATGCTGTGCTGGGCCTGGCTTGCCCTGGACCCAGCGATCAAACTCTTGTGTTGGTGCATGGGGTGCCAGCTTGTGCCTGGGCTGAGCAGGGTTTGGGGCACCTGCGTGTGTGATGGTGTCCAAACACGGCAGTCCCAGGCACTGGCACGGCTTTGATCTCCCCTCCTGCTCTGCTCGGCAGCCAGAGAAGCTGGGAGACATCTGCATCTCGCTGCGGTACGTGCCCACGGCTGGCAAGCTCACTGTCTGCATCCTGGAGGCCAAGAACCTGAAGAAGATGGATGTCGGGGGTCTCTCAGGTGGGTGCTGCTCAGGGGCAGCCTCCCCCTGCCCTGCTGGGGGAAGGGCTCTGGGGCCATCCATCCGGCAGAGCTCAGGAAGAGCCCCCAGTGCCTCCCCCTGCCTTGGGGGCAGCTCAAGGTTTGGCTGGGGGTGAGGGGAGATGGGCRTGGGACAAGTCCCTGACACTGGGGAAGGACATTTTGAATTTGGTCCCCCACTGTGTCCAGGACCAGGACTTGGGTGGTGAAAGTGCTTCTCGACCATTTGGTCCTGGTCCTGCTCCTCYGTGACCTGGGGGCTGGGCACCTCTCTCCCCAGCCCGTTTTGTGCTCAGAAAGTGTTCCCAGTCCCATCCTGGGGCTGAGCTCTGTGCTCAGGGGTCCTCAGCTCTGATTCTCCAGACCCTTCCCCAGCTTGGGTGAATGCACAAGAGCTCCATCCCTTGGCCAGTTGCTCCCACAAATCCTCTCCAGCCCAACTATTTTGTCTTTGGCGTCCATCCACAAACTTCAGAGTACCTTACCCAGGGCAATCTGTCCCTCACCCTGGGGTGAGAGGTCTCCTGGCCAGTGGTGTCCCCTGGAAACCTCAGCTGATGCCCCATCCTGACCCCCAGATCCCTATGTGAAGATCCACCTGCTGCAGAATGGCAAGAGGTTGAAGAAGAAGAAGACCACAGTAAAGAAGAAGACCCTGAACCCCTACTTCAATGAGTCCTTCAGCTTTGAGATCCCCTTCGAGCAGATACAGGTTTGTGTGTTGGCTGCCCTGGGATGGGAGATGTCCTGAAGCTGCCTGAGTCCTTGTCGCAGCCTTCCCAGCAGCCTGAGTCGCTCCTGCCGGGCTCCTGGGACCCTGGGGATATTTCCAGCCCCATCCTGGGCCTGGGCTGATGCTGAGGGYGGCTGGTGTGGGGGCAGAGGTGGGTGGCAGCACCCATGGGAGATGAAACCCCAACCTAGATCACAGCTGAAATGGGGCTTTCCTCTGCTCTTGATCCTACAGTGCTCACCCCCAGCATAACAGGGTAGTCCTGGGGGCATTTTGAACCCTTGGCCAGTACCTTCTGYCCCTCCATATTGTGTGCAAGCCCCTGCACATGGCCCTTGTTCCTGCCCAGTAGCCCACAGCTCTTGCCCAGCCCTACACAACCCCATGGTGAACTTTGCCATGTGAGTCAGGTCAGGATGAGCTGGGCCCCCACTGAGCCCTGGGCTCTTTTGGGGAGGACGTGGAGGAAGCAGAGAGGGGGCCCTGCCCAGAATGGGTCATGGTGGGGCTCAGCCTTGGGGGATCCCTGGGGCACCCTGGGGCTATGGGTCATGGCCACTGTGCCTTTCCACTCATCTGAAGATTTCCTCCTTCAGAAAGTGCAAGTGGTCATCACAGTGCTGGACTACGACAAGCTGGGCAAGAACGAAGCCATCGGCAAGATCTTCACAGGCTTGAACTCCACYGGCACGGAGCTGCGGCACTGGTCCGACATGCTGGCCAACCCCCGGCGGCCCATTGCCCAGTGGCACTCGCTGAAGCCCGAGGAGGAAGTCGATGCAGCTCTCGGGAAGAACAAATAGGCAGCTCTGCCGCTGGCGCAGCGCTGCGGACAGTCGACCCRGAGCTACGGATACCTCAGTTCTGCAACCTTCCTTTTGGTTTTTGTTCTAAGCTGAAATGCCCTTTGATGCCTCTGGAAGGGTTTCCAGGCAGTCCCAATAGCTTCCAGGGGAAGAGGTTAAAGACATGGATGGTTCWTTTTGGATGGTTCTTTTTGTTCTTCAGCATCGCTTCCTTCTGCTGCATGTCCCATTGCCTCTGCTCGCCAACCCGTCCCGGTGCCAAGCCACCGGCATGCCTGGGACCTTCCCCAGCAGCTGTCACCAGCCTGCAGCACTGCTGCTGCCATCCTGCCCTTGGCATCCCCCAGGGAGCCACGGAACGTTGCATGGAGTGATACCGAAGCCTGATGGTGCGAGATGATCAAACCCACTGTGCTTGGTTGGGGCATGACCAGCACTGGGACAGAACAGTGGTGCAGAAGAGCCTCTGAAGAGACCCAGATGCCTCCTCCTGGCCATCCACAAGGAAGGCTGAGTGACCCTGGCCAGCTCCAGGTTTGGGTTCTCTGAGGAGTGGTTCACAGGGGCTGTGGATCCCACTGTGGTGGTGCCAAGGCCTCGGTGTTGCYGCAGGAGCTGTGGGGGCTGCTCTGGGTTCAGGGAGCCTCAGGAGGGCTGCTCCAAGGAGGTGAGATGTGGATGCACCAGCAGCTCCAGGTGGATCACCACGACCATTACCACAACCATGACCACGACCACCACCACCACCACCACCATCACCACCATCACCACCATCACCACCATCACCATCATCACCACCACCACCACCACCTCTGTTTTGTCCATAGAGGGGCAGCATCTGTGTCCCACCATGTTTGGTGAATCATGTAGATCGAGATGCTTCCACAAGGCAGGTTTACAATGAGAGGTCTCCAGATGTGGTGGGGGCAGCCCCCCAGAGCAGCACCAGGTGTCTCCCCAGAGCCCGTCCATCGTGTGTCCCAGGGCTCAGTTCCACCATGGGCACCCCAGCACAGCMTGGGGGCAGCTGGGGGGTCATGGGGAGCTCCAGCCTGTTGCAGATGGGAATGGCAAGAGTGAGCCTGGGGCCAGCATGGGACCAGAGCCCCTGACCCCCATGAGCTGCTACTCCCCACCAGGCTATTGGCTGCCAAACCCACCCTGTCCTGCTCCCCTCAGGGGGATAAGCCATATCCATGACCCTGGCTGTGGGTAAGAGCTTCTCTGGGCCACTTCTCCCACTGCTGGGCCAAGCTCCTGAGCCAGAAAGCCAACACAGTTCTCTGTAGCTGGGACAGGGTCCAGCAGCCCTGCCCTGCTCAGCCCAGGCTGTATTGGAGCGCTGATGTTAGCTTGTGCCCTGTCCCAGCTCCAGCTCCACAGCAGCCTCACGCTCTGCTCCCCTCGGCTTCCCTGGACTGGGGTTTCTGGCACTGCAGCAGTGAAGGGGAGAGCCCCAGGGATGTGCTGGAAGTGGGGATGCTGCTCTGGAGCAGCTCTGCTGGGACCTTGGTGCAGGGTGTCCCAAGCCTGGGGACAAAGTGCCAAAACTGAGCTCACCCCAGCGCTGTCGGGTGCTTTGGCAGCTCCCACAGCTCCGCTTCCCAAGGGGCATCYTGACCCTCTCTGGAAGTGGGGAGACGATGGGAAACTTGGCAGCCACAGCTCAGGGGGTTCAAATGGACATGAGGACCAGCCCGTGACCCTGGAGGGTTGTGCAGCTCTGGGACATGTCCCCAGGTTGGGACATCTCCATCCTTGGGAGGTTTGGGGCTCGATAGCCAAGCTGTGGTGTGGGAAGGAGATGTTGGACAGGGACCGTTAATGAGCACCTCCACCAGCACTGCATTTGCACTTGGCCCATGCCCTGGTGAAGGTGGCACTGGGCCCATGCTGGCTCTGCAGGGGTCATCCAGCCAGTGGTCCCTCAAGGCCAGCTCCAGCTTTAATTAKTTCCTTTTCCTATTGGATGTGTCAGTGTCAACAGATGGGCTTCTGCCCTGCTTCTGTAGCCAGAGAGAAGTCTTGGCATGCTTTTAATAACAGGGAGCTGGAGGGGGCCAATGCCCCATGGCCAGGAGCACTGGCAGGACTCAGTCTCATTTTGGGGCCCCTCCAGGCACCGCAGAGTGGGGGGCGGGGGGGAGGGTGTGTTTGCCTCACATGGAAATGGGTTAAGAGAGGGGGGATTGGAAAGAGCTCTGAAATCCTCCTRCTGGCAGTCAGGGAGTGGGCACGGCCCCACAGCCTTCCCTGGGGAGCAGGTGGAGGTGTGCACATCTGGACAGCTGCACACCCGCACACCTGGACAGCTGAACATCTGCACACCTATCTGCACWGCTGCACATCTGTACACCTGCACATCTGCACATCGCACCTGCACACACCAGATGCAACCCCTCCACCCGATCCCCGACCCCCAGACCCACCRCATCGGCCGGGGTCTTGCCGGGAGTGGAGATCCCACCTGGCTGGTTTCCATTCAGACTCTTTAAGCGTTGGGGGAGGGGAAAGACTGTGACTTTAATACATAATTTATTTTTTTTTTTAATAAAAAAGGGAAAACCAACCAACATACTGAAGCCATCTGCGCTGCCTCTGACCCCCCCCTTAGCTGTGTGTAGGTAAAATATATGGAGACATAGCTGTATATACCACGAGCAGTGCATGTGAAGCAGCCACGTAGCAGAAGCAGCATGGCCCCAGCCCGGCGGCGCTGCCACCGCCCCGGCACTGCCGTCCCCACCCCCCGGTCTGCCGCTAGGGAGGAGACGGCGATCACCAAAACTCATCGCTCGAAAGCTCTCCACCGCCCTGATTCTTTCCCCCCGAAATAAAATGAAAATCCCCATTGAAATCATATAAAAGAAGAAAATAATGCCAAGAAGCAAAGCATGCCAARCCCGGCCCGCCAGCGGAGGGTGAGCTGTCACCGTCGCAGCCGTGGCGTCCATGTGTGTCGTGTTCCTGTATCTTGTCGCGTTTGTCCCATGGCCGGGTAGCAGCAACATCGTGGCTTCGGTGTCCTGTGTCGCGTTGGTGCATTTCACCGTCAGAGCAATTTTAGAAGCCATATTAGAGCACGGTGCGCCGGGACCCCACGGGGACGGGCCCACGGCGAGCCGTGACCCCCTTCCCCCCCATGTGTCCACGTCCCCCTGGTTTCGTGGGGCTCAGGCTGCCAGGACGCGCGGCACCGGTCACCGCCTCGGTGGCCTTGGGTGCTGCTGTCACGCCGGGCGAGGGGATGGGACGACGCTGGGCACAGATGTTGGAGCCGACCTGCTGCTGGTGAAGAAGTTTTTGGAGAAATTTGGGTCATTTCTGCCATGTCCAGGCGGTGGTTTCTGTTTCGGGGACGAGAGCTGACAATCCCCTCTCTTGGGGGCACCGCGGGGCAAACCCAGCTGTGCCATGGACATGCTCCCGGGGTTAAAAGGAAGTGAAGCCACAAGTCTCGGCAACAGGCTCTGGTTTCTTTTCCTTTTTTACCCCCAGACTAGGAGGGAGGAGCCAGCTCCTTTGGGTGTCGCAGGCTTGGCTATTCCTGGACCCGCAGTGCCGGCCCCGCTCTGCCCCATCCCAGCCCCGCAGCGCTCGGCTCCGGCGGAAGCTGCTTTTAATGCCCCTTCCCCTCGTGTGGACTCTGTTGTTCCGTCTCTGATCGTTTGATGGTTATTTTGTAATGATCTCTGTCTCCTTATTAAAGAAACGAGCTGAAATGAGCTGGCTCCCTTCTGGTTTTGCTGCTGGGGCTCACGGGGCATCTGCAATGACGGGCAGCACCCGGGAAAGTGAACCCAAGGATGATGGAGGGATGGAGATGTTGGTGGAGCTCCACAAGGGCCCAGGGCCTCCACAACACGGGRAATCATAGAATCATTTAGGTTGGAAATGCCTTTTAAGATCACGGAGTTCAACCTTTAACCCAGCACTGCCATGTTCAGCACTGAGCCGTGTCCCAGGTGTTACATTCACGTGCCACTTGAACGCTTCCAGGGATGGTGGCTCCACCACTGTCCTGGCAGCTGTGCCAGTGCCTGACAACCTTTTCAAGGAAGAATTTTTTCCCAATATCCAGCCTGAACCATCCCTGGCACAGTTTGAGGCCACTTCCTCTTGTCCTGTCCCTGTTCCCTGGGAGCAGAGCCCAACCCGCCCTGGCTACCCCCTCCTGTCAGGGAGTTGTGCAGAGCCACAAGGTTCCCCCTGAGCCTCCTTTGCTCCAGGATGAGCCCCCCCTCCCCCCCCAGCTCCCTCTGACTTGTGCTCTTGGCAGCCTTGAGCCCCAGCCAAGCATGGCTGGACCAGACATGGGGCACGGGTGGGAAATACCAAAGGAATTCTCCACCCACAGCAGAGTCTTGTCCATTCAGTCACATCCTGCCCCAGAGATGCTGGACATCCCCATCCCCAAGGGARGAGCTCAGCCTGCACCAACCACTTCCAAAGACTGAAACATCTGGAGGCTCCAGCAGCCTCACCTGAGACAGAGGTTGCCAGATGTGTCACCACCTTCTGCCTGTGACCAAACTTCTGAGCAAACAGGGCTTGCCACCGCAGTGGGAGATGGGCGTGACCCCCAGCGTGGTGCTGAGGAGGAGATGGGACCCTCTCCTGTTCACCTTCCCACAGGGATGTGCATCCCAGTTCCTTCGTTTCACTTCCCCTGAACAGGCACCTGTGTTGCAGCTGCAGAGCATCTGTGCTTTTATGGCTGATGGATACTGTTATGCCATGAGAATTTTGGGAGAAACAGGGAATTTTTGATCAAACAACTTGTAATTCCAGAAAGATCAAAGCAAGTCACAGCTTCTATTTTATCAACTCTTATTTTATTCATTTATAAATACTGTTGTGTTTACAAGCATCATAGCTGTGAATATTATTCCCAAACTTTCAAACACATAATACTTATAATACTATATAACAACAACCAGTAAAACAAATCATTCATCTCAGGGTTTGAAAGGCCACTCAAAAGTTGCATAAAAATACATTCTCTCCCCATCTCGTCAGCCAGTCCTGCTTCTCCAAGGAGTTTATTTACAAAGAGCCATCATCAAACTCACAGCCACAAAAAGGCGGGTTCACCCCAAGCAATAAAAATTAACTCACCCCAAGCAATTGCTTAGAAAAAAAAGCTCGTGTTCCCCAAGGGAGACCACGTCTGGCAAATGCTCTGGTTCCAAGAGGGATCAGTTTTAAAACCTACTAGCTCCGCACCCTGCTCCAAGCACAGGGTTCGAGGTGTCCTGTTTGTCACCTCCTCAGTGCACTGATTATGTCAAGTGTGAAGTGAGACAAAAAAAAATCCATTCTCAAGAATTTGGTTTGCAGTTGGGCCATCACCACGAGATGCTCACAGCTTTGGCTAATCAGGGACACTGAGTCGTGGGGGCCCTTCCCCTGGGCAGGGCTCGGGAGAATTCAGTGCTAAGCAGACACTTCAGCTAAAGTGGTTTGGCTTTGCAAGGTGCCACTGAGAGGAACGAGCCTCCCACAGCCTTTCCACTCCGTTCCTTAGGAGAAAGCGCAGCGAGTGTCCTGGTAGGAAGGGGCAAAACATCAGTGTGGGATGGATTTGTCRGATTGGGCTGAACCCTCTCCCTAAAACAGACACCAGGCTTCTTCCTGCTGCCAGGAACCCGCCTGTGAGAAGAACAGGATCTTTATTCTGAACTCTCCTCCTCGTCGTGCTGGGACGCGTGGCCGGAGGTGCCAGCCCAGCACAGCCCAGCTGGGGAGCGTCTCCTCCTCTGCACAGAAGGGACCGGGCTCCTGAGCCCCTGATCTCCTGACCGGAGCCAGAGCCCGAGGCTGAAGCGGGGAGCGGGTCACCAAGAGAGAAAACATCAAGAACGGCAGAAGTATTCACATAAAGAGTGCACCAAGAGGGAAYGGCGTGCAGGGCAAGCATTGACCGGATCTCAAGACTTAAAGCTGTTAAATAGAGCAGGGTTAAAATCAAGGAATATAAAAAGGATGCCTGGCTTAGGCAGTACTCTGCAGACCCCCTGATGCCTTTACCAGCTTTGGTCTCTTCCTCCCAAAGCTCAGCAGCAGGGAAACTTGTGGTCAGAACTGCCTGGGGAAAACTGGCAGCTCCAGGAAGAGCAAGAGAGGTGGAAACAGGCAGGACAGGGAGGGGAAGGGGGGAAAATGGAGAACTGGGGGGGGGGGGGGAAAATACAAAAAAAAACCCAGGGAGAGGAAAATAAAGATGCTTTCTGAGGCAATAACCAGCAGAAGGTTCAAAAAAGCCCAGGATTGCCCGGTAATTTTACCCTGTTGAACAAGCTCAAGTATTCTGCTCATGTTCAAGTATGTCATCTCTCTGACAGTGGAGAGTCCCCCCAGCCAGAGCCAGCAGAGCTGCTCCATGGCCACCTCCAGGTTCAGTGACCAAGAACTGCTGCCCTTGGCCAGACAGAGTGGGGAGTCCAAGGACAAAGGGATGAAAGGACAAATAGGAAGGATGTAGACAGGAGAGTTTTGGGTACAGCAAAATGTCTCTGAGAGGGAARGTATTGGTTGAGAGGGGTCTGTTAAGGGGAAGTTCAACAGACCTGATGTCCACAGCATGAAGAGAGGAGCCAATGTCTAAATGCCCATGGAAAGAACAATTCCAAATTGTTCTGAGTGCATGTAACATTAAACAGGGGTATTTCTGGAGGTTTCCTTCAAGGTCAAGGCTTATCACAAGTTTTTGACAGGTTAGAAGATTTCCATCATGGTGACCAGCAGTTCCTGGTCCATCTGAACTGACACAGCCTGACCTTTCCCAGGTCTGTGGGACAGGATGCTGGCATTCCCTCTCTACAAATCCTGCTGCAAATCAAAGGGGGGGACCTGAAACACCAGACCAGACTCTGCTACAGGGCCCTGCTTTCAAGGAGGCAGCAGGAGAATGTCCCAGTTGGCTGTTAGGAAGGGGAAGCTGGTTTCTGGTGTGGGCACAGCTCCCTGCAAGGTGATTGACACTCACACACGGGTGAGGGAAGCAGAGGCTCTGCAGGGGTTCAAGTCTGTCCTTCAGAAAGCCTGGCAAGAGCCTGTGACACATCCTGCCCCAAGGAAMACAAGTCCAGGTACAACTGGGTGCGACCAAACAGAGACAGGAGCCCGGGAAGGACAGCATGTACCATGGGATCACCAGGCTGTGGGGGAAAGGGAGGGTGAGGGATAAGGGTCTGACACAGTGTCATTGCTGATATTACTGAACAGGCTCAAAATCTTATCTTCAGTAAAAGACTCAATCTATTGGGGCAAGAGAAGAATGTCTCTGTGCAAAGCAGCTCATCAGCCTGTGAGAAACATGAGCTCTGGTGGCTTTCACAGCATCACATTTAACCAGAGTCCCCCATCTCGGTGGGCTGATATGCACCCTCAGAGTCCTAGCCCGTGTTCACATTTCCCACCTGTAAAGGGCTTTGATAGCTGGATCAGTTCTCCAGGTGTCACGTTTTACAGCAGGAGCTTCCCACTCATGTCCGAGTCCAACACMAAACACTGGGCTTCTGGAAGAAGTTTTGGCAGCTCAAACCCCGTCCTCACATTTCTCCCTTGAATAAAATGTCCGAGATACCACAACATGCTTAAATTAAAAAATAAAATGGCAGGGGGTGTGTCGGGGGGCAATAGGGGTAGAAAGGGAATGTACAGCAAAGGGCAGGGCAAGGCAGGTGTGACATTGATCCCATGGCTGAAACGCTTGCTGTACGGGATGGGAAGGACAGGGGACGGGCTTGGTGGTGGGGTTGGCAGCTGGTGTAGGACACCCCTCCTTGTCCTGCCTTTGCTCAGGATTCCTATTTGGAGAGTTTGCTGATGACACGAATGAGGGCTCCATTCTCATCCTTCAGCCTTTGGTTGTCTGACTTCAGCTCTGTCAAAATCTGCAAGGAGACAAAGAAAAGGTGGGATCAGAGGGGCTCGGGGGACCCGAGGGGACGCTGCATCCCCTCCACCCAGCACTTCCATGGCTCCACAGCAGCGCCAGAGCTTTCACAAACTGGCTGCCAGGCGTGAGGGGTGAGAGGGGCCTCGAGCACAGCACTTGAGCACACACTCCCTTGAGCCAGGGAGCCCCGAGCCAGGGAGCCCCTGGTGCGAAGCGAGGTCACGGCCCCAGCAGCAGCTCAGGGCTGGGCTGGCAGGGCAGGAACCATTTCTGAGAGGTTTCATCCCAAACCTGTGCCCAGAGGCTAAATGCAGCTCAGCAGACAACAACAAAGCTGGTTTTCCTGATTTGCTTTTTCCATCATGCCAGGACTAAAGGGGAAACCAAAGGTCTGAAATATTCACTTAGGACTGGACCTTGCCAAATCTCTTTAGAATACYCAAATCTCCTCGAGACCCCAGCATGTGTAATACAAGTGCCAAGTTAGAGGACTGGCAGAACACACTGACACTGGAGACACCTCCTGGGTGCTCAGCTGAGGTTGCAACACAGACAAAAGCCCAAGCACTTTGCAAATAGAGAAAAAGCAGCTTCAACAAGACCCTTCCAGCATTTTCCATTGGCACAAACCCTGCTGACTGCCCCTGCTTTCCCTGCTGCAGGTGAGTGACCCTCAGCGGACTGTTCCCAGCACCAGAAGGAGACACCCTGCTCCTGTGAGGAGTGTGACACACAAGGGGTCACTGCCACCACAGGTGCCAGCAGATCACMGAGTGACCAGCTCCGAGGCTGCAGGAGCACCCAGGGCACTGTGGGATCACACCCATGGCACCTGTGTGAGCTCAGCCACCACTTCTCTGTCAAGGTGCAACTTGGAGGAATTCCCTCCAATTAAAAATCTGCACTGAATCTTCTCCTTCCTCCCATTGTGTTCCAGCTTTGACCACAATGCTCTGCCCCCCTCCWCCTGCAGTCCCTCCATGATCACTAGCTCTGAGTGCAGGCAACTCCCAGGCCAGTGCCAGCTMCCACCAGAGCAATTCCCTTCCTTCACAGTCAGGCCAAGTCATAGTGGCCCCAACACACCCAATTCCAGCCCTGTGGGCACTGGTGGTGGATACTTCAGGTAGGAGGTTTTGCCAGAGAGGGAGGAGAGGTTGGTGGGATATTGTGGAAAGGGTAAATCCATGTGCTGGGCTGGCCAGAGCTCCAGCCACTGATGCTGAATGTGCCTCGCTGGACCCAGTGCTGGTGTGACAGGTGCATCACCATGGCTGGGCTGTCACCAGAACAGCATTCACGGCTCCTTGTGCCATTTCTCATGGTCAAACAAGAGGCAGCGCCATTACCAAAAGGCTCAGGAGCTTAGAGACAGAGAGCCCTGGATATCTCTGCACTCCTCCATTTCCTCCTGAGCTTCACCTGACACTCACAGCACCAGTGCCTCCCAGTGCCCTGCAAGAGCCCCAGCACCCAGAGGGGCTTCAGTTGGACATTCCCTGCAGGCCCCTGTCACTGCCTGGGGTGGCCCTGCACTGTGGTTACGGGGCTGTGAAGTCCTGACACCCGCTTTGGTGGAGAGAATCTGTCCCAGGCTCTCAGGAGCRATGCCAGAGAGAATCACCCCAGTGCCAGGGCTCAGCTGGAGCCCGATGGGGCTGTGCCTCACACATTGATCTGAAAATGAAGGAGTGTAAGAACACGTGAAATAAGCATCTCTGGACAGGTTTCCTGGCCATAATCCGGCTCCACCAACAGCCAGTGAGGATTCCGGAAAGCCACACATCAGCCTCACACAGTGTGAGCCCAGGGGCTCCTCCCCTGGAGGCAGAGTAGCCTCGAGCTGGGTGGAATTAACCCCATGGGAAGAGGCTTGGAAAGCAGCTCTAACCATGATGCAGTGTCGCTGTAAACTTCGTTTTGGGCTGAGGGCTGCTCTGAAGGGTAGGGCTGTGAGTTAGCTGGGACAGGGGAGAAAGCGGGCCCTCAGAAATTCTGTGGATTTGGGAAAATGACATTCACTGAAAAGCACCACTGCTGCCAGAGTGTGGAACATGCGGCAGAGCTCAAACCAGTGACATAGCTGTCCAGCTGTGATGTCCACAGACACCGAGGCACAGCTGACACACAACAGCAATATCCTGTGTTAGACCTACTAACAGAGTTGAAAATAAATCAGCAGAGCTCGCAGACCACAGCTCTCCCCCAGCTCAGGCACTGGCAGGGAGCTGCAAACCTGTAAGTGAGGAGGGAAGGATGAGCCTCAGCCAGACAGAGCAGAGTGTGGGTGGAAGGGAAGTGATAACATCCTCCCAGGATGGAGAGAGGTGACTTGCAGGTTKSAAAACATCAGTTCTTTGAGTCTGGRAAAAAATTTTGCCCAATCTTCCCTCCCAGATCTCAAAACATGTGGGGAAAGAGAATGACAAACTCATGGAATGAGACGGGGTCAGGTTGGAGGACACTTCCACATATTAAAACCAGAAGGGCTGTGAGATCATTTCACCTGAGATCATTTCACCTGACCATCTGCACAATCCAGGGCACACAACACGACACCCGACTCTCCCAGCCCTTGTGACACACATGTGGGCTTGAGCTGAGACTCCTGGAAAGTGGAAGCCACAATTCCCCTGGTTAGTTTGTTTCTACGGTTAATCAGCCTTGATATAATTTGTGTGCTAAGAATAGATTTTTTTTTATACTGTGGTGCCACTTCCAGCCCTCAAGAGCACACAGCTTCTGTGTCTGAAGGGATATGAATATCCCTACTAACCTGCAAAGGACAGGTAGGGCCCCAAGAAAGGAGCATTCACAGCTTTATTTTAGCATTGAACCAATGAAGTAGCAGGAAGGAATGTAATTTAACTGTGATGCATGAGGCCAAAGCTTAGGGAAGACTTGTCCTTGGGTTTCAAACATTAATTGTCCTGCATTGGATTTAAAACAGAAGATGAAAACACAGAGAGCCCCTGGTCTGGCTCCTGCTGCATCCCCCACCCTGTGCCAGCCCACAGGAGGCAGAGGGGTGCTGAGCCTCTGAACTCAGACTCAAAAATCTCCATTTAAAATAAGGAAAGGAACTTGTCCTTTTTTGTTAAGTGACCAAATAAACCTGCTAAGGACAGCTCAGTTTGTAGTTTTTCTTCTGTCTAAAAGCTTCACCTTTCAAAACATCCTGGAAAATTTCCAACACTGTTCACCTTGACTTTGGATAATCTGATTTGTTGAGTGCCAAACTTCTCCCTGAACTAAGTCCAATTAAAAAAAAAATTCTATTATAAACAGACACATAGCATAAACCACCTATTTTCAGGTGTCTAAAGCCAGGTTTGGACAGGGCTTGGAGCAAACTGGTCTAGTGGAAGGTGTCCCTGCCCATGGTGGGGGGTGGAAGGAGATTGAGCTTGAAGGTCTCTTCCAAGCCAAACCATTCAGTGAATCTGTTTCAAGGCAAAACACCGGGCAAGGGCTGCTGGCACTGCCAAGTCACCCCAAAGCTGTCCTCCAAGGCCAAGCTGGCAAGGGCAGCAGCATCTGCCAAGCAGAGCAAGAGCCAGCGGGGCGAGCAGAACTCCAGCAAAGCCCTGCCGTGGCAGCAGCACCATGCTCTTGGAATTCTGAGTTCCTTTGCCACAAGCTTTGGAGCCACAAGCTTCACCAGACACCCTGAGAGCAAGGAGGGAAGAGCCCGGCCAGGAAACGGAGACCTGCCTGGAAGAGTGCAAGAGAGAGGCGAGATGAGCCGGAGGGAAAGCAGCTACAGCTCCTCTGACTCCGAGGGCTTGGCRGGCAGGGAAAGCCTGGCTACGACCCGGGTCAGAGCCCTGTTCTCAGCCAGCAGCTGCTCGTTCAACTGCCTCAGAGTGTGAATCTGTTTGAGCTGGTGGAGATTCTGCAGAGAGTGAGAGGAGTGGACAGAGAAATACAGAGAGAACATCATGGAAACGAATGGGCACAGAAATGAGCGTTTAGTCCACAGGCAGTGGAAGAAAAAAAGAAATTAAAAAGAAATTAGTAGCAGTGAGTGCTGGATGGGGAAAGCCTGACAACACAGCAAGGATATTCTGGAACCAGCCCTTTCTCCAGGGGCCCCAAAGATTTTAAAAAGGTCAAATACTGGGATTTTGCACACAAAGCAGGATTACATTCTAGTTTACCTAGACAGACCTGGGACTTGGGAACTGCTGTAAGACCTATCACCAGTGACTTACCACCTACACAGKCTCTGAAAGCACTGCTGGGAACTGAGAATTTCTTTAAAATTCCTTTTCTTCATGTGTCTCTCAAAGCCAAAGCAGCTGTGTGGAACAAAGAGTGATCAGAGCTTCCTGGGAGATCCTTAAGGCACAGACAGCAGCACCTGGAAGTGTCACTGTCCCAGGGCAGGTCACTGAGACAGGTGATGTCCCTCACCTGTCCATCACCAGGAGTGATGCTCCTGGGTCTACCCAGGCTCAGTCCTGCCTCAGGGGTTTGGGGTGTTCATCCCTGCCCAGGTTCTCTGTCATGGAGCTCTATTTATCTCTGATCTTCAGAGGGGACAAGTCTGAACCTTAAACTGCTCACTTTAGGAAGAGGAGCCTGGAGGAGAGCTTCTCTCACAGTGGGGATGTGCCAGCAGGGCATCCCTGGTGACAAAGGCAACGGGGAGCACAGGACAGGGCAGAGATCGAGCCCCACACTGGGGCTTGCACACCTACAAAATGGGCATGGTGAAAAATGGGCATGGGTACAAACTGGGCAGGGATACAAACTGGGCACAGGTAAAAACTGGGCATGGGTACAAACTGGGCACAGGTGAAAACTGGGAATGAGTACAAACTGGGCAGGGATAAAAACTGAGCACAGGTGCAAACTGGGGCTTGCACAGGTACAAACTGGGGCTTGCACAGGTACAAACTGGGCACAGGTACAAACTGGGCACAGATATGAACCAGGTTTTGCACAAATACAAACTGGGTACAAATACAAACTAGGCATTGGTACAAACTG